TTCTAGGAGGATCTGTTCCATGACCTTCCCATAAGGGTGATCTGCACAAACAGCAGTAGCTAAACCTTGTATGTTGTTGTAGGGTTACAGGGAAAATTGGAGTAAACTATCAAAGGGAAGCATGATTTTTTTATTTTTATAAAGTTGATTTAATAAATCATATATATCTTTACTAGCTTTTCATTATTATTATGGATTTTTTTTTAGGAATGCAAGGAAAAAGATGAAGCCAGACTCCTTTCTGGACAGTGATGAAAGCAACATTCAGTTTGAGAAATCTTCAAAAAAACCAAAAATTATACCTGATGAGCAAGCAAATGGGGTGTACGGTCTTGTTATCACCGGCCACAGCCTGGTAAGGAAGGTTCAGAGTCATGTTAGGGTTCAGTTCTCTGGAGAATTTAATGTGATAGGGACATACTGGAAGTCTGAAAATGCTTTAAAAATTTAGCTCTAGAGGAATGGAATTTATTTTTCCTAATTGAAGATCAGGTTCAGTGGTTTTCTGAGACATTAAAGGTGATGGGCAAGGTTTCAGAAGAGTGGAACAGGGAAGAGCTGGCCCTGATGTTAGGTGAACAGGAGGGGTAGAGTAGCTGGATTAATTTTCATTTCCAGAAAGATACTAGAAAAATAATCAGGCAGCTTATGTATGCAGCAAGAAGATAATGTCAGACATGGGTTTCAAGTATGCCAAGAACATATTCTACTAAATATATCTGATAACAGATTTTTTTTTTCATTTAACAGATAGGATATATATCTTATAACTTAACTAATAAATTGTTTCATGCTCTCTCCCATGATGTTCTTCCAAGCAAACTGAAGTAATAAGGACTAGATGAAATTGTTAGGTGACAGATGCAAGACTGCTTGGCATGTATGGCTCTTAAGGGCTCAGTGTTGACCTAAAACAACAGTTAAGTGGCATCTGCAGAGGGCTATCCCATATGTACTTGATATTCAGTGTTTTAATTAACTGCTTAAAAAGAGAGCAGATAACACCAGGATGGAAGAAACTGCAGGCATGGTGGAGTTAATTATTAGATTTGAAAACCATTTTAGCAAATTGGAGAAATACTTTGAAAAAATGGAGAATGCAGTTCAGTAAGAACAAATGCCTTGTTCTCCACTTTCACATATTTGACTACACACATACGACATCAAAGATATGTATGTAAGAGCATCACCTGTATGACTTGTGAAGAAAGCCTCCTGCTTCATTTGGCATTGGTAAAGTTTTAGCTGAAATAATTCAACATATTTGGGCCATTTTCTTTGAGACAATTTAGACCAGCTAGAGAGAGTACCAAGAAAATTCTAAGAGTGGTCATGCATGATCTGGAAAGCGTAGGGGAAAACTGAGAGTTAGGATTTCTTAGCCTAGAGAAAATTGATCAGTCTTGGTAATATCTCTTCAAATAATAACAGGTAAGCAAAGTAATGGAATTAAACTGAGACAAGAGAGTTTTGGATTAGTTGTCTTCCTGGTGAGGTAATTGTAATAGTGCTGATACTGTCCCGCTCAAACACAGCATCAGTTCAGTGCCGTATCCCTACGTGCAGGTGGGTGGGATGGCAGCACTGGGACTGTGCACACACGTGGTCTTGCTTAAACATGGCGAATGAACAGAAGCATAACAGCATCTGTAGCGGCATCATCATACAACTAGCTGATTTGTGTGCAGAACCATTAATAGATCTAATACGTAATAACATTTTCCTAGTGCTGCGCAGCGAGAGCGTTGTGGCAAAAGCCATCTCTAACGGCAGTGACCAGCCTGTACTAAAGCTAAACCATGAAAAGGTCTCTCTTGTTGAGCAATGCTGCCGGAGGGCAGCGGGGGTGCTGGTGACTCACAGCTCTCTGTCAAGACCAAAGAGTATCTGGGCTAAGGATTGTTAGCAGAAAGGGCAATGGGCCTGCTGCAATGGCTCTGAGGGGAGAGGGCCCTGTAGGTTCCTTCCATGCGTGTCTGCTGAGAAGACGCATCAAAGGACAGAGCCGAAAAGCACAATCTGAAAGAAATATGAAAAGCTAACACTGCTCCCTTCCTCCCGCGCAAAGCTGGATGTGTCCAGACATCCAATTACCTCTGTGTGTCCCGAACAGAAATAACATGGCTGACTGACTTAAAAGGCCAGCGCTCACTGCCTTCTCCCCGGCTTTGTGTTTTGCTTTGTCATGCCCACCTGAGCTCAGCTTTTCCCATGTTTTTTTTTTTTTAATTAAGTGCTCCCAAATTGAAATCTCTTCTATTTACACCACAGATCTCCCAGAGCTTAAAAAACAAACCAAGACGGATGAGCAGAGACTCTCTCGCACGGAGATAGGCAAGGTTGTCTCAGGCCCAGCAGCAGCTTCGTTAAATTACTGCTGTTCGACAGTTGTTTGACACTTCTGCCACGCTGTCAGGTTACATCAGCCAGAGCAGATGTTGTGCAAATCCAGATGTGGCACACCCATGGCGCAAGCTCGTCGGCGTACTCTGCCTGGCGTGAAGCTGCGCCACACGGATGCTCCCTGCAAAATGAAGGGATGGATTCACCTGGGGTGTCTCATACCTTCCTTCTGCCAAAGGGAAGAACCAGCTCCGTTCTCACTTTCTTCCTGCTGCCGCCTCGTTGTCAGGCCACGAGTCGCTGCTAGTCTGACCCTAACACCCCCTTTGCTCCTTCTTCGCAGGCTTACGCGCTGGAAGGGAATCTGGAGCTGGAGCTGGTGAGAGCCGCCTGCATGTGCAAAGTGGTGATCTGCTGCCGGGTGACTCCGCTGCAGAAAGCCCAGGTGGTGGAGCTGGTGAAGAAGTACAAGAAGGCTGTGACCCTGGCAATTGGAGATGGCGCCAACGACGTCAGCATGATCAAAAGTGAGTGGTGGCTGACAGCCGGCATGCTCTAGCAAATGGACTTGCTGCCATATTAGCTACCTGAGGTGGCCTAGAAGCAGGAACATGTATCCGAGTGCCTTTTGTACCACCTTCTCTGGTGGCTGT